GTATGCTATAGTTCAGAAAGTTAAATTAGAATTTGAAAGTCCATTGGACAGATTTCCAGAACTATCATAACAAAACCCGAGCCCACACCAAAAATAAGCAAAAATAAAATAAATAAATAAAATTAAATAAGGAACAAAAAGTGCTGTCTAGAATTAATCAGTGTAATACTGCTGACTTCACAAAACTACAAATAGTAATTTTTATATAGCTGGGTGAGGATACAGGTTGTCATGCAATATATGACAATTCTTATTCACAGTGATGGGAATCATTTCTTTTCTTGAAGGCTCTACTTTTCTATTGCTCGCTCAACAAGCATTACAGAAAATGAACGTTTGTGTCAGCATATTGATTTTAGCACTGGTTCCAGTATCCAAAAAGAAATCAAACTAGCCACAGCAGTACTTGACTCCTACTGAGGCTTTCTTATGTTGCAGATGTGGGCTTGTTTTTGGAGAAGAGTATTTATGATCTCAATGATTCATATATTTCTATAAATTGCTCTGGATTGTGACAAAGGATTAAAAACTGCCCATGCTGAGTAATACCGTATATATATACATATATACATACATATCTAATATACTGTAACTATTTAAATTAGGGGAATAAAAGAATCAGAGAAAGAAATAGACTAAAATCCTATGTAAGTGTAAATTAAGTGTTTTGTTTGTTTGTTTGTTCCATATGTAGCAATTTGTGGCCAGTACTTTAGAATGGAGTATGAGAAAAAGTCACTTGTCTCCATTCATCCCCCTTTAATTTGTACTCCAACCAGCCTTGTGATGTTCACATTGATTCCCACTCCTTTCTTTATTACCATAAATGAATATGAAAACTTCCCACTGGTAAAATTAACGTCTGCTCTGATAAATTATGATAGCATTTAGTAAAACATATAAAATGTAAACATTTGATCCCAGAGCACACATATGATGAAGTTCTTTTATAGATATTTCTATTAATGTCATAGGTGGTTAACAACTCATTCATATTTTGTAGCAATTTCCTAACATCTGTCACTAATATGTCATGATGTTCCTGTGTATCAGAAATTTGAATGCAATACCTTTGAATGGAGAACTGTTGAGTCATTCCGTTGCTGTATTTTCTAAGTGCTGAATATATAAGTGATATGTTTAGATCATCAGTGTGGACAAAATTGGTGAAGTTGTCCCAGAAACCTAGCTGAGTAGTTACTTTTTCCTGGTACTAGTAGCAAAAATGGCATTCAAGTTATGTTCTTCTTTAATTAACATTATCCATGTGATATTTTTGATCGACCAAGGGGGAAACAGCAGTTTTAAACGTGGAATTGCAAAGAGCTCGCTTGGTCACAGTCCTGTGTTAAACGTTTTACTAGGGACGCTGGTTGTACTCTGTAAATAAGAAGTGGTCTATGCACCAGGCCACAAACTCCTGATTCAAGGCATGGAGCACATGATTATGGCAAAGACATTGCAGTGTGCAGGTCACAGTTCCACAAGGGTGAAGGCTTCTAATAATGCTTAAGAACTAGAGCATAAACATTCTGTAACTGGAACTATTTTAATTTCTTTCTCTACACTTAATATTCTTTTGTTCATTCATTATATTACGATCTTTGAGAGATATTCAGGCCTGCACCTTTCTCAGGGATGTAAAAATATGATTGTATCTGCAGTGTGAAATGGTAATGTATGTGAAATTTCAAGGAAATAGTAGTAAATACAATGACATTCCTTTCTCATCATCTTTTATTTCAGGCACATATGCATTTTTTGCTGGCAAATGTAATGCATAAATTCAGGAGGGGTTGTAGCAGTATGAAATAAAAAATGTTTTATTATGTATAGCTGTTTCACATTATGTGTTCCAATGTCCTTCAGAGGAGAAGGGGTCCTTAGTTCACTGAAAATGAAACTCACAGCATGTGTAAGCAGTAAAACATTTGTATCTGATCATTTTGGTTTCCTAGCTATTTTTTTACTAATTGAAAAATTCTTTAGAGGTGCTGGAAGCATAAACGAGTGCTCAAAGTATACACTTGCCTCTTGTTTGAAGTGTAGTTTGGGGCTGATCAACGTTCTTAGACTCAACTTGGTGCCTGGTCAGGGAGATAAGTGCACTGGCTATTTGGAGGCTTGACAAAGCTCAGGTAAAAATTACTGATGCCAAATCTAGAGCCAGGCTTGAGTAGTTCTGGGAGAGGAGTGGTTCGAAGCTGTTCTTGTCAGTGAAGCTTTTTACTTTAGCACATTTCTTCATGTTTCTTCCGAGGGCCAGATCTCTATTTCTGTTACATTTTCAACCACTTTTAAAGCTCAGCCAAGCAACACGCTGAGATTTCTTGTGCCACAGGGGAGCCGCCAAATTACCGCAAGCTGAACTATTTGAGCTCAGCATGTTTTCTTCCCACACTTCATCCCAGCACACCACGCTCATGAGCTTGCCTAGGGCTTTGCCAGTATGGGACTGGAACTGGCTGCGGTCAGCTACCGCAGGGGTCCTATGCCTTCACATTGCTCCAGCCTCAGCTTCTGTGGTTTTCTGAAGGTGAAAATACCTCATTCTTTTCTGAAGGTTTTAGGAACTGCTTAGACAAATACCCAGCAAGGATAGGAAGACGGAGTTACTTGGCCTTGAGTTGGTAAAAGATTAGATATATCCTTAAGGTAATTTTTAGAGAATTACAGTCACATTCCTATGAATCTTAGAAAGAGATTTTAATAGGGCTGCAGAGGTGATCTGTGCAGTTCTATAAATCTGTACTTTTTATATAATGGCAAGAAATTGGAGATGATATGCCACAATTAGTTTTTTCTCTGATTTAGAGCTATAGAAAACAAGGACTTCTACAGAATATAGAAATGCCCTTTTTTCACTTAATTAGCTTAAGAACTAAGCTATTATTAATAGTGAAGGAATTATTATGCTAAAATTATGGACATTTCAGCCAGCAAATACTACAGGATTACTGGAAGAAAAAAAAAAAAAAAAAAAAAAGCTAGCACAAATAGTCTGAAAATCTTTGGCTTTGTGCCAATCTATCATAAAATTGAACACTTTTGGAACAATTACCAAGGAACAAAACTGACAGAAATAACAGGGGCCCAGGTAAGAGCCCAGTGCGATTACACACTGATGCTCTGACATTAAAGGTGAAGTATGTTTTGCATCACACTGCAGCATCCATTACATGGTGATGGGCTCTGTTATGGGAATACTGCAGCAAGTTTATCCCTCGTAGCTGGCAAGACAATATAACAGCTTTAACAGCCTATGTGTACAGTTCTCCAATGGACACATTAACAATAAAGTACATGGGGACCTCATTAAATAGTCTTCTGTCAAAGCTATGATGTGGGTTAGGCTCTGTGCTTTTTGGTTTGAGGACAGGCAAGGCAGTGCTTTGGGGAGAGAAGGGGAAGAGGAACACTGGAGGGAAAATCTGGGGGTTTGCTCATGTACTAACCTCTGAAGTATAAGCGGTGAGCAGGTTTTTGAGGACACTTCCATTCCTACTACTGGTCAGCTCTCACTAGTATCTGCCCAGTACGCCGTATGTGAAGTGCCAAAGATGCTGTCGTGGGACTTGGGGAGCCCACAGTGAGCATGCGTTGCTCATCCTCCTGGCTCTGGGTCACAGCAGTTCCTCTCACAAGCCAGAGCTGCATGAAACGTGCAATCTTTTCCTATTTGTAATACTGAGTATTCAATCAAATATTGAAATTAATAGTAAGAGCAGGACTGCGGCATCTGTTAAAGCCCTTGCTATTTTGAGATTCACCATCAAGAAATTGCCTGCATGTTTCCCTGCCTACCTTACCTGATCCCAGTAACAGGACGAGACTGGGCAGACAGGACAATCTGCATTACATTTGGAATAACATCTTATGAAAATAATTTGGGAAAAACAATTGATATATTAATTGGGTGTAAACCAACATGCTTTTATAGGCTGATTACAAATAAGAAAATATAGGACAGATCACAGGGGTCTCTTGGTGTACTTTTAAAATTAAAGCTAGAAGTGTAACTGAACTTCACTGAGATCTGATAGAATCCTTTTTGGATTACTTAGATCTTTGTTAATTGGGATCTGAAGTATAGTTTCTAGTCTTTAGAATGTACAAAGATAAACTCTGGATCATTTAGCATTAAAAAAAACCCTGCAAAACACAAATACAAAGCATTTAACCAAATAACTGAAATGTTTGCAGCAGTCTGTAATCAGGGTATTACTTTTCAGGTTAGACTTTTTGAATCCATTGTTACAAGAAGAAGATTAATGCTGCTTCTATTGAATCATGTATTCACTCACTTCTACAGCTGGAACACCGGGA